TAAGACAGTGGAATTGAAAAGTGTTGCATTATAGTTTGCGTTGTAACATGCATCTTCTGTAATGCCCTTCTGCCCTGTCCTCTGTAGCTTCATACTAACTCATTATTCATCTAGATTGTTTGTTGCATTTAGGGAAATAAATACACGAAGTTCAGCGAATTGGGCAAGTCCCACGTCGAATTGTGGGCAGAGCGCTTTCGTAATACTTATCATGTCGCCCAGCAGTTTAGCCTTTCAAAATTTTTAATCGAAGACCGTCAACTCATCAGTGAGGTTCGTACAAATACGGGTTAATAATTGCCAGTTGGCAGTTGCCAATTAATTTTTTTGCAGGATTTGCAAACAGCTCTCGAATTGAGCCGTGAGATGGCGATTTCTGCAGCATCTCCTTCGCAGGAAACATCACTAGAAATGGTATATCTTTCTCCTTTCACACTCCTTTTGTGTTTTACAGCGAAGTGTTGGCTAGCAATTTTGAAAATCCACTTGGAATGTCTCTTGCTGATCAGTCTAGTTTTATGGACTGGTGGCGGCTGGTACCGGGCCTAATTTGTTTTAGCTGCTTGTGGCTGTTGAAAACAGTTGCTATCCAGCGGGAGAGGCTTGTTTTCTGTGAGAAAAAGGCTGAAAGATTTTTTTGTTTTCTTGCACAGTAGTAGCATGCTCCGATAAATTTATGATTCCATTTTGCTCCAGCAAAATGCCAGTGTATTACTTCTGGAGGAAACACTGTGAAAAACAGTAATACAGACTTAACTGAAATGCACCGAGTTCAGGCCGACAAATGCTCAATCAAATGAAAGCAGCGTTAGAAATGGTGGAAAAGTGTTAAACGTGGTAAAAAACGAAATTTATTCAGAAGGCGCGAAACTTTCCATCCTTGTGACACATGCGGAAGGGCGTGCCATTTTAGCTGGGAGTAACAATCTATTATTGCTTTACCGGATACTTGAAAAACTAATGTTGTGAGCTAAATTTTATGCTGCGTAAGAAATGCGTTGTAACTTATTTATAAAATTGTAATCAGAATGCACAAAAGCGATATTGGCTCTGCTTTCTGACTTAGACTTTTCCACTATTCATATTTATCCTGAATTCGAACTGTACATAAAATTGGCATGACTGTAAGGTGTCTTTTTTAGGCTACGAAATCTAATAAGGAGAAGGAGCAGCGGGGCGCAGAAAGCGACAATGTGGAACTGCTGACTGCTGATGTCGATAAAGAGGCTTCCAATCTCTTGACGAAAACTGGTGGATCCACGACATCTGTAAGTCTGTTACCCACGCAATGCTCCATTTGCAGTATCGAAATTTTGTTGTGATTGAGTGATATAATCTTTCGGATGCGAAACTAAAGTTGAGGAGTAAGCGATGTTTTGGTGGAAGGAGCGATGAACTGGGAGATGGTTGAGGTGTCTTGTAGTAATTATACAAACAGTTAGGGGAGTATCAGATGAAGGGCGTAGATGATATCGTTATGGCCAGAGGAAAGAATGAAAGTCATTGAACAGATTATTTTGCCTGTTTTGGTGGCGTTCGGTAGATATATAACTTAGTGATCCTTCTGGCAAAACTGACGACTCTTCAGTCGGCTCCCGAAAAGGTGGCACGCATGTTCCTGTGACGGTTTTTAATTTAGAAGCACGTAACCTACACCGATTGCTGGGCTCTTCCTAGTAATCACCTCATTCATGACACATTGTGGATTGTTGATCGAGGCGTTACTTGTAAATGGTCTTAGTATGCGCTTCTTGATAATCGCCAACTGAGTACGTGATGTGGTACTACTTTCGCCTAGTTTGATAAGCGGATTTCTTTGCACAGTTTTCGAAATACTTGATGCTTCCATTTGAAGTTTTTGCGAAATTTTTCTTGGGGAGCATGCTCAAGATTTTTTAGAGAGAAAGGCAGCTAGTTGCATTGTATCGGACAAAACTTCTCGAAGTACTGCGGCAACAGAAATTGGATAATGACATAAGAAAGAAAGCCGAGGAGGAAATGACGAAGTATAGAAGTCGCTATAAGAAACTATGCCAGTTATTAAACGACGCTGAAGGTTCGTTAACAGTTGCCTGCCTTTTTTCTTAGAGGTCCTGTGTTGATAAATTTGCCTCATGTTCTGCTAACGTGTAAATATACAGATTTTTATGGGCAGTTACAAAAACTCGGCTCGGCTGGTGATCGATGGTATTTGGAAAACACCCTAACATCTCTGCCAGCACTATTTTGCGGCGCCGCTGGCTGGGACAGCTTGGCAGTTTGCCA